TTGCATAGTTAGAAAGTACCAAGAAAAATTATAGTATAGTTATAGGTACATAGTCTGCTTTTTATGTGTTATTATTCCATGTTTTCAGGTGCAGTATTTGACTAAATAAAAAAATTTAATGTTGTAGTACCATTAATATAAAAAAGTAGGGTTACGTTTCATTGAAAAAAAGGGTAATTTAGAATTATTTCCTAATTTTTTATAGTGGTTACGAGGTCAATCAAATAGACTGACCCTGTATAGAGTTATAGAATAGAAAATGATAGATGAAATATAAAGTGTTTCTGGGAAAAACATTTGATAATTATTTAGGAGGTTTTAGGGATTATGCAAATGAAATCTGAAAATTTTTAGATGAAGAAAAGTATTTTTAATCTTAACATAAAAATCACTTTGCACTCTGCCATTTAATTATGAACAAAATTTTAGTAAGAATACTTAAATAAAATTTCTGATATTTTGTCTACAAAAGACTTAATGTTTACTGATAGCTTGTCAAATGTTGTGAAGATTCATTAAATACTTTCAGAGTCATAGTATGTATATCACAATGATTACAAGGTCATTTAAAATACACAAACCAGTTGTGATAATGTTAAGCTGTTTTTTTTCCTGATCTTAATTTTAAACATGTTCGTTGTTTGGCCATTTTTCACAAAGAAAGGCCACTTTGGTGTTGGACATAGCCCACTTGCCAGATTGTGGATCAAAAGGTCCAAAGCTCAAACTGCAATATGCTGCTGAACATGCTTTGTGCTTTCATCTGTAGGTGAATTATAATTGTGACAGTCAATCTCATTATTCAGTTAAGAGTATCCTCATAGATGGTGGGTGCTACTGACTGGTTTTTCTCTCTAGTCAGCATGTCTAATTTAGATATGGCTATGCCTGATCCTTGAGGTCTCTGATTAGGCTCTTTAGTCCATAATTGCACAAGGTGCCATTCAGGTTGAAAATACCAAAATTCCACTTCTCCATCTTCTAAAAGATGAGATTGGAAAGAAAGAGCTCAGGATAAAAATAAATGGGATTTCAAACATGAAACTTTTTTTTTTTAAAGAAAGAGAAATTTAAAAAGAAAAAAAGTGCAAAAAAATTAACACAGTCAAGGAACAGTAATAGTACTTAAAATGTTAACAGAAAAGAAAAAAACGAGCAATGCAATATGTGGTATCATTCTTTATACAAATTAATCAAAATGAATTACATGCCATGATAAACACAAGAGAGACATTGAGGTTAAAAATAATTTAATGCTTGTTTACTGTATCAAATTATGGATGGAATATGGCATGTTCTAGTGGATCTTGTGCTGGACTGTGAATCTGAGAGTCTGTGGTTTGTACCCCATTGTCACAAAAGCATGTTCTGTGCTAATGGTCATGGATGCATTATACTGGGATGTAAGACTTCCACTTTTTAACTGAAGTCCATTATTTTCATTTTATAAATCTGTGTAGTTGTTACTCAGTCCATTTACTTGATATCATTGGTTTATTCCCTGCTAGTTTTTTTTTTTAACTATTTCAGTTTGCAGGCAAAATAAATGGTTAGTACTATAGATTATGGAAGCCAGTGTTTGTAATTTTTGTCCAGTCATAGTTCACTGAAGAAAGTTAGTGTGTCTGCTTCATTCCAGATTTTCCCCATTAATGTAAATACATGTGTTTTATATGCTTAAGTTGGCAGGAAGAGAGATGCACACAGTATAGTACCATAGTAAGCATTACTATGCCTCTGTGTATGCTATGCAATATCATTGTGCTTCTCACATTAAAACTATCACGCAAGTAACTTACAAAATGTCTTTGAAAGGGAAATCTGTTATTAGAAAAGGCAACAGTGTCACAAAAATTTATAGCTTTTTAAATTCCTCTTTAAGATGGGATTGGTTGGAAAGTAAAATTGATGAAGAAAACTGAAATCTTGCATATCTTGATTAAGGTTTGGTGGGGCCCTAAGCCCAGGTAATATTTGGGAATAATGATAACTCTTGCCTCAATTCTGCTGGTTTTACAAACCATAATTTTTTTTTACTTGGGTGGCTGGCAGGGCCCTTGTATGGCTTGGGCTTAGGTGGCCTATGTGTTAGTCTGGTATGGGAATCTTGTATTGAGAAAGTTG